TAATTGCTGATATTCAGAAATCCAAAGATGCCTCATAAAAACTCAGACTTGCAGGTCCTCTTGAGAATCAATCCCTATACTCAACAATAAGCTAGAACTGGATAGTGGCTGCCTCCTTTATATAAACAAGAACTCTGGTTCACCACGTTTCCTGTCCAGTCAATTTTTAAAACTAAAAACAAGACACACAAGAGGGAGTGCAAATTTAGTTATAGAGGTAGAGCATCAACTGCTCTATTTGAAATAGGACCCACTGTTTCAAAACAAGCAAATCAGTCCTGTTAAACTGAAAACTCTTTTATAAGATATGTTCTTATACTTACTACAACGATTTAGTGTTCTCACTGCCATGACTAGTGTCTCTAATCACAGTCTAATCTATAACACAAATGGCCAGCAGGAAGGATGAGTTTGGTTTCACAGCCTCTTTGGATTTCTATGGAGAACCTTAAGTATCTCCAAGGGCTTTGAGAAGGATGGCACACCAACCAAGGCAGAGGCCTATTCTTTGGTCAACTGGCACTAGTCACCAAAGAAAAAAAGTCATTTATACTCTCAATCCCCCTACTTCCTCCAAAAATTCTAATCCTGACAACCCAAGCCACGTTCTCCACTTAAGGGGAGGCTCTGCTGCACAGAGAAGATCTTTAAGCTGCAGTTTATTTTATAAACTGTAACAATGCCCACCCAATAAGTTCTAGCCCTACTCACCCTCTCATCCAGATCGCTTTCTGCATCACACTGGGGAGAAGGAAAGACAGAGGTATCACAAAAGGGAAGAGGCCAAGGTCGAAAGGGAACTTTTGGAGAGGGAGTGCAGTGGGAGGGGCCAGTACAGGTAGAGAGAACACTTACTATATATCCAGCTTCCAGAGAGTGACGGGAGGAGGCCTGAGAAAGACCAGAGTCCAGAGGTAAGGAAGGCTGGCTGGCGAGGCCTTTGTATAATGTCTAAACTCCCTGGCAAGGCACTCAAGGCCCCTCATGACCTACTCTTAATTTCTTTCTACCTGTTTCCCCTGTTCCCAATACTCTGGCCCATTTTCCAAATATACAAGACTCTCACATCTCTGTGCTTTAGCCCAAAACTTTGCCCCATCTCTCCTCTTACCAAACTTATGACTACCCTTCAAGGCCTGACTAAGACATCTTAGGGGGCTTTCCCTAACCACAACCCTCCTCCCATCCCCCAGGCAGAATGAGTGGCTTCCTCATGTGGGTTTCTGTAGCATCTCTCCTAGATCCCTACCTTCTGTAGTTTCTCAGGTTTTAGATTAGGTAATTGCTTGTAAATCGTTTCTTTCCTGCCAGACAGCCACCACCTCAAGGAGGAGGACAGAGACCATATCTAATTCATTTGTGATTCAACTAAGTTCCTTTGATTCATCTCTGAATTGTCAATATGCTTAAACAGACTTAGTGCCAGCCAGAAGGAGGTGAGTCTGACTGTGGACACATCTTCCTCAGACCTGGGTGGGGGAGTGGGAGCTCAAATTGGCTGTGCTTTCCTTTTGGCCTTTAGAGACTAGGGTCACTGTTTAAAACAGAGAGTGCTGTTGCTCATAGAAAACAGGTCTACCTGAAAGATGTTCTGCCCAGAGTGTTAAAGGACAGGGATCTGGAACAAACTCACCTCTTTCCTTCTCCGCTTATTGGGCCATTTTCGGGCCCGATCCCCAGGGGGCCGGCCAGGCTCTCGATCAGAGCTGTCCCCAGGCTCCCCAGTGGCCCCACTGGAGCCCCCCCTCTTTTGCTTCCCAGAATGCTTTAGCCGATGTTCCAGTCGCTCTGGGGGCTGAAGAGAGGCATCCTTCTGTGGAGGAGGAGGTGGTGGGACTAAAGTGGATGGAGAAAGAAAAGCTCCCGACCTCTCTAGGGATGACCAGGCTACCGAAGTGGCCCTCAGGTAACCTGGTTGGTCCCTGGAGACTAGTTCTACCTCCTCCCACCCCAGGGTGGGGCAGAGGCCTGGCCAGAGGAGCCGGTTGCTCTGGTTCGGGGTGCCAGCATCCCCCCCCCAACTCCACCCACCCGGGCAACTATCCTCTCTGCCCCTCCGAAGCCCCCATAGGTCCCCAGCCTTATCAGGCCCCACCTGCAAGGCCTCGAGGCTGGCGAAACTGGCTATGGCGAAGCCATCGATCAAGTCCTCCTCCTCTTCTTCCTCCTCCTCAGGCTCCTCCTCGGCCTCGCCGTCGTCTGCGCCCCCCTC